GTCTTTCATCGCAGTGAAATCTTGGGTAACCACATGGTATTCCCACAGCCACAAACAGTGGGGAAAATATGTCTAACTGGGACCTGAGCTAGGGTTGTTTTGCTGGAAGTCAGTGCGCTGCGCTATATTCATGTACATGCAATATCACAGTTTACAGACAGCGGTTCACTTGATTATGCAACATCTTTTTATTCCCACCCTATGCTATCAGTGTCAGACGTGGTCACTCACAACAAAACATAAACAAAAATTAGTAACCATGCAGACGAGGTGTCTGAGAAAGATTGTAGGAGTAGACAGAAGAGATAAAATCAGGAATCAGGTCATACGAGATAAAGTGGGTACAGAACCAATTCTAAATTACATTCAAAGACAGCAAATCAAATGGTTTGCCCACTTGGGTAGAAAGTCTCATGCTATACCATACATGGTACATACCAAAAGAGAAGACGGACGATGAGCAAGAGGAAGACCAAGAACAAGATGGGAAGAACAAATCCGAGAAACTCTACAGCACTACGATGTGTCCTTGTCGAAGCCGCCAGAAGAGCACGAAGCAGGACCTTAATCTCCCGCGACACCCGCAACGGTAAAATAGGGCATACAGAAGAAAAAGAAGATAGAACATCATCATTAAGTATTTTGCCAATTGGAGTGGGTTATCATGGTCAATCCCATCTCACAGTGTCTAACAGAATAAATTCATTTGTTGAAATGTTCTTAATCCTTCTGTGTGTAACGATTTTAAGGCGACGTAAAATACTGATCTGATTTGATTTGATTTGATTCAAGAACCGACAACACGGCACTCAGGGCATTCCCATAAGTGCTCCGTCGCCATCTTCAGCAGCCAGCGAAGAGTTCCGATACTAATGGTGCCAGTAGCATTCTGATTAAACGTCCGTCTTACCTTTCCTGAGCCTCGAGCATCTGCCAGAACCTCTCGTCACTCCCCGCTGCATCAATGTTACCAGACTGTGGTGATCCATCTGCTCCTCTGAACTGTACACGCTCTCCCACACGGCACTAACCACGTCTGCCTTATCATGAATCAGTATTCCACCAAGCTGTGCAGAGCCAGCCAATCTGATTGTTCATTTCCCAACCGGCGGTCCCCGGTAAAAAAAAAAATCCAGACAATACTCCTCACTCGTGTCCTCCGCAGCGAAGCATGCAACTCTGCACAAAGCATGCCTTCCTGATCTTCCTCAGCATGCTTTCTGAGTCAGTTACAATCAAGATGTGTGTACCTTACTCTATGAAATGTTAAAATGTATAATGTTGAATGTTGCATTAGGAATCGGCATGACAGCACTCAGGATGTTCCCACAAGCAATCTGTGTCCATCTTCAGCAACAAATGCAGAGTTCCAGTTTCGATGAACCAAAAACAGTCTAATTGTTTATCGGTCTCGCCTCTCCCTTGAGTGTCGAGCGTCGGTCAGATCCCTTGGTCACTCCTCGCAGGACTATGCAAACCTATGGCAGGGTTATGGAAAGACTTTGTCAGATAAATTACAATGCTGGTTAAAAAATGAATACCCTTTAACAAGCTTGATTAACTACCATTATATGTCACTGAACACTTGCAGTGGGAGAAACAAAACACTTACTGATTATGTGTGTAAACATTACTGATGTTTTGTTTACATAAAAAAGCAACCGCATGCATGGACCCACGTGTTTTATCATCGTGTTTCCTGGTCCTACAAGAAAGTGGGAAATTCCGATTGAATTTTTCTAACCACTGAAGATTTGCAGTCTGGAGGATGAGCATCTCAAAGATGAGAATCACACAGATACAAATCCCAGAGACTCCGTTCAACAGTCTAACCATATGACACATTTGTAGTATCAGAGACCATAAAACAGTCACAAAGTAACCTGTAGACTCGTGTAATCTGATGTTCTGACCGGTACCATCGGCATAGGAAATCTTTGTTGGCTGATAAAAATGGGGACGGGCCGCATGTGTGAATATCCTGAGATTTGCGGTGTCAGTTATTAACTCAGCTTAGTAATAATGTTTAGCTCGTATTTGCAAATATTCGCCACAAGTCATCCTAAGAATAAGACAGGGTCCGTCCCTTCATTTATGAAAACAAAGATCGACCATGTTTAACCACCTGCGAGCAGTATCAGCAATAGCCGTGGTCTGGTTCCTTTGTGCCAAGTATGTTGGTTAAGAAGTCTGGGAAGACTGGAAAAGTGCGTGTGCCATAAAAGTGATTTGAACGATTTCATTGAAATCTTCCCGCTTTTCCAGATGATAATGATTCTTTGTGTTATAAGGAAGCAGAGAATTTACAGCCCACGACAACAACGGGAAATTAATAACCTACGTAAGTCAAAATTAAAGACTGGAGTAAAACATATTTTAGGATTAGTATTGCAATGGCAAAGAATACACTAATCATAATTTTTCAGTATGATCCTAAAAGGGAAGCTGAAATATTTTGGTCATATCAAGCGCCTCGACGGATTGGAAAAAAAATTATAGCAAAAGGCATGGTCAAGGAAGGAGGGGCAGGGACAGGGGCCGACCAACACGAAGATGGGCACAGGATTTAAGTGACTCCTTGAGTATGAAAGTGCATGAGGTTGGAGAGCTGACGAGAGACCGAGTTTCTTTCAGGCAGACTTTGATGAGAGCAAAGGACCTGCTACATAACGATGATCATAAAAGAAGAAAATCCAGCTTGATCTGTGGGAAAGAATGCTTCCTGTGTACATCTGTTCAGTCGAGTTATGTAATTCTGGAATGTGAACAGTGAATAACAAGATCTAAAACGCTAGAAAGTCATTTGAGATGCGTTGTCGAAAAAAAAGAAAGGAAATAAAAATAAAAAATCTGAGAGCATGCATATTACCCGTAGCAACATACAAATGTGAAAGAGATTATCAGTTGCCGGAGATCGAATCCATACATATGGAGATTCTAACGTTAGCCAATGTGAACAGGATCACTCAGTTTGGAAAAGGCAAGGAAAATCTTTGGAGGACGCTTCGGTGGAATCGGATGTGTCCGCATTAACGATGGCAAACCCTCAAGGGTGGCAATAAGGCAATGCTATTGACCTCGAACAGATGTCACGGATCGTAGACCCAGAATGCCTGTTGAAGACGCGTGAAATCTTCACATATGCCAAGACACAGTAGTTTACCTGGGCCCCTTAGAAAGCGTGGTCATTTACCACCGGAGAAGATTAGTTCAGTCACCACTGTGTGCTCAATATATGGAGCAAGCGTTGACAGATATAATTTATGTGAAAGATATAAGGGCGGTAGTAAAAGTGTGACAGCGAGTAGGTAGATTGTCTTCAGGATCACAAGAACAGTTGCATGCAGTAGAGAATGAAAATATAGCCAAAACAAAGTTGTAGGCAAATGTTGAAAAGGTTAAGTGGGAGCAGTTCACAAAGGAGTTGAGTTGAGTTGAGCTGATTCAAGAACCGACATCACAGCACACGGGGTATTCCAATAAGCGCTCCGTCTCCATCCTCAGCAGCCAGTGAGGAGTTCCAATACTAAAGGTGCCAGTAGCATTCTGATTAAACGTCCCACTTGCCTTCCCTCTGAGCCTCGAGCATCTGCCAGAACCTATCGTCATTCCCCGCTGCAGCAATCTCACCAGACTGTGGTGATCCATTTGCTCCTAAGAACTGTACACGCTCTCCCACCAGGCACTAACCATGCCTGCCTTATCATGCATAAGTATTCCACCAAGTTGTGCAGAGCCCACCAGTTTGTCAGCCTCTTCGTTTTCCAATACACCGGCGTCTCCCAGTGAAAAAATCCAAACAACACTCCTCAATATACAATAGTTACAAAGGAGACCGGGGAAGAACAATTAACATATTTTGGAAGCTGCATTGGTAGATTGGCCAAAAGGAGCCGCCCACCTCAAGCTAGACGGACAATATAGAGCCTCTTGTACATAACGCCACAACTGTACTGTTCTCAAGCCATCGGAAGACTGTTGTTGGTGTTTTAACCTCTATTTACATAGGTCCCACAGGGCATATTCATGAAATTAGAAACTGGCGTTCTATGCGAAAAGTAGCTTACACTGTTTGATAATACTCAGATTTCTTCGAAGTCGGGGTACATCAGCCTTTTGGGTGAAGAAACAACAGACTGCACATATCTGTAAAATGGATACACACGCAAAACGGTAAAAGTCCTGGGACAAAGCCGCAGTCTAGAAATGGACGAACAACATGGACTCATGAATCAATTGTTGATTTTTATTTTAAATATTGCAGAGCCTTCTAGTCATTCGCTGCACCCCAGTATGATCAGAACTTTACCCAAATCTGATATGTTCTCATACACTTTGACCCACTTCTCTCCATGCCCACTGTCTGAAGAAGAGGAGGAAGAAACTACGGGTTTCAGGGCAGAGGGAATAGAAAACAAAACATAAATGTTGACAGAGAAAACCTAAATGACAGCATCAACGCTTAAGAAGTATATACAAATGTCATAATATCTATGTCAACCACCTCTATTTTGCCAACCACCAGCCTGCCAGTAGAGATTTAAATAAAAAAGCCACCATCTAAAAATACTCGAATATTTTTAGATCCCGGGTCGAATATCCCAAATGTATGACAGGTCAAGGTCACCACCAAATCACGCTCACATCTCGAAAGACATGAATGAAGACGAGAAATGGGCCACCATTAAACTCAGTAGCAACACACCGTGATTACTTTTGTTTGCCGCTTGTGTTCCTCGTTTGTGCTTGCAATATTGCTTGCTATTTACCGGCAGTAAGAGTAGCTGATGTTTAATCTGGTGCAAAATAACTTGTTGTTGAAGAATACGACCGAAGAAGTGTTGGAAGGTATCAGTCGGCGCTAACCAAGTTGTGTGTTGTTCTATCACGGGTTTTATATTGTATGGAGCCTGCAGCTAAATTCGGCAGGTTCTTGATGCACACGTGAATCGGCTGTCTGTAAGTTATAGCGGTTCTACCGCGGTAACATCTTGAGCACAATGTCAGCAAAACTTGCTGATCGCATAGACCCTTTTACAGCCAAGGCTGCTATTAAGTCGAAAAAACAGAAACGATCACAAGGTTCATCTCACTACCGAGCGAACACTGCACCAGAACTACAAGCATTACCTCATCTTAAAGGTTTGTGGTTGTGACAGTACACTGCATTGTTTATTCATCCATAACGATGTTTTTTGTTGTTTAAGTGAGCATAAACATAAACATTAGGCTTTTTTAAGGTGCAGTGTCGGCATTTTTGGAGGTGACTAGTGACTGCTCAAATCCAGAGTACCAGGCTTCTTTTCCCAGTTTTCAGAAAATTGTTGTACTTGTGATTTTTAAGAGTATTTACAAATTTATAAACATCAGTATTATTTATTATTTGTGAATGGTTACTTACTCTTATATTCGTTCGTCTTAGACAATTTTGCCAAGTACTAGTACCAGATATGCATGCCATATGAGTAGTAATACTGTTATACAGAAAGAACTACAAAAATAAGATTTCTAAGAGCATTCATCTTTTCCATTGCCACATATGCCTGTGAGACCTGGACACATACTAAACAAGCTGAACAGTGCATAAATGCCATTGAATACAAATGTTATAGATGGGTTCTAATTATATCATGAGTAAGCAAAAGAACAAATGCATACTTCAAGAACTGAAATTGAAGAAGGTGGGCTAAAGACAATAAAACACAGAACATTTAAATATTTTTGTCACTTGAACGTCACAAAATTTTACAGGGAACAATAATAGAGTGGTATATGCCTGGGAAGAGAGGAAGAGGAAGGCCTAAGAGAAGATGGGTGCAGGATGTGGCGGATGATCTCCAGATAGGTGTATCGGACGCGGAACCTCTTGCTTGTGATCAAGAAGTTTTCTGGAGGTTTGTTAACTCTGGGTCCCAGGGTGTTTAGCATCAGAGGCCCAAGAGGTGGTAATGCATTTTTTGGCTATCCTCCGAATAACGGTCCAAAATTTTCGAGGCAGAAAATATACCCTAACAGAGCCTCAGACACGTGTCAATTGCGCACTTCTTCATCTTAAATTGCACACTCCCGGCGACTTCTGCCACGGGGTGTGGATTGGGGCTAAACTAGATGAGTGGGACTCACGAGCAGCAGCTACCGCATCTCCTGCGGCTTCCTTTATTTTATTTGCTTGTGAGTCCTAGCCATTTAGTTTAGCCCCAATCCACGCCGCGTGAGTGGCGTGGGGGATACTCTCGGTGGTGACGTTATTGTCATCGGAAGTGCGCAATTGACACGTGACTGAGGCCCTGGTAGGGTATATTTTCCGCCACGATAACTTAGGATTGTTATTCGGAGGATAGCCCATTTTTTTTATTTCACAAGTAGACCGAATAACGGTCCCAAATTATCTAAGCCGAAGATATACCCTAACAGGGCCTCAGTCAGATGTAAATTGTGGACTTCCGGCGACTTAAATTGGGCACTTCCGGCGACTACCGCCACCGCCGAGAGTTATCTCCCACGCCGCTACGTGCGGCCTGGATTAGGGCTTAACTAGATGACTGGGACTCACGAGCATTAGCTACATCTCCTGCAGCTTCCTTCATTTTATTAGCTTGTGTGTCCCAGCCATCTAGTTTAGGCCCACTCCACGCAGCACCTTGCGGCGTGGGAAATACTCTCGGCAGTGGCAGAAGTCTGCAATTTACATGTGACTTAGGCCCTGCTATTGTATATTTTCGGCCTCGATAATTTGGGACCGTTATTCAGAAGATAGCCCACAAGTGTAACACCTTAAAACAGACCATACTAATTCAATTGCCGCGCTACATACACATATTATACATCAAAGTGACGGATTGTTGAGGAATCATTTTAGAAGACAGCTGCAACAAATAATTGCGTTAGTAATTCAATATTAGTAAATAAACAGACAGTATGTTTGCAAAAATTAGTAAAATGAAATTTTTAAAAATTCCACTTAACCACCATGGCACCCAAGAAAAACTGGTTAAAATGTATCCAAAATGAATCGCAAATGAATATGAACCACTAAGTAATGTATAAGTAAAATATAAACTCAATCTATACATTAGATTTGGTTCCAGAGAATCTTTTGAAGCATCATAATAGAGCACCATCATTTGGTAAAGAAAACTGACTCTCAAAACAATAAGTATCTTCACACAAAACGAAGTTTATGTAACACTCAATTAACCTGTAATTATGTAGCTATGTTGCTAAATAATAAGGAGAATAGCACTAGAACTAACTGACTCTCAAAACAATAAGTATCTTCACACAAAACAAAGTTTATGTAACACTCAATTTACCTGTAATTATGTAGCTATGTTGCTAATAATAAGGGGAATAGCACTAGAACTAACTGACTCTCAAAACAATAAGTATCTTCACACAAAACAAAGTTTATGTAACACTCAATTTACCTGTAATTATGTAGCTGTGTTCCTAAATAATAAGGGGAATAGCACTAGAACTAACTGACACTGAAGAAAATTGTCTTTTCACTAATGTTAATTCTATTTGTGCCAGCTGACTTTGCTATTGTGGTACCCTTTGCATGAGGTACATACTAGACATATCCCTCATCAAAGTTTGACTCTATAAATGACTGAAACACGTCTATTTTGCAACTTTATCTATCTAACTTCGAATGAATCTAAAAAAAACACGTACTTTATTTAAATTTTAGGTCTCTAAGGCCGTAATTCATGTTGGCATCCACATAGAATACTGCTTGGCCGCCATATTTTTTTCAAACAAACGCTTAGTAACTAGGCTAATCTCGTAAATTTACTATATTTTAATCTTTCAGCTCACTTTTCTAAATAACCACGCCCGATATCAGAAACAAAGAACTCTAAAGGAAGTTGAAATTGCGCAGTCCACATTGAATAACTGGCCAGTGGTAGATTAAAAACCTTCACTTGTCACACGTCGATTGGGCCGCACTGTTGAAACAAATTAGCGCGTGATGCGTTTCCTGGGACTCAAAGAGTTAAGGGAGCAAGGTTCTGCATAAAACATGTTACTGACTGAAAACTGTTATTATACAGTCTATACTGAAAATACTATTGCTGTTAGTATGTGGAGTATTTGGTGCAGATTATAAATTTGGCTGCTATTGTTTCAGTACCAGGTTTTTTTACTCTTACATTTTGCCAAGTACCTGTGCCAGATATGCATGTAGAAATGGGAATATTAAAAATATTATCTGTATTTTCTTGGCAATGTTAGTTTTATTAGGGCAATACTGTTGTTACAGTATCTGTTCTGAAAATACTGTAGCTGTAGATACTGTTAGTATGTGGAGCATTTGCTGCAGATTACAAATTCTTCTACAATTGTTTCAGTAGTACTACTTTATGCTTATATCTGTCTTGTATCTTCTGTTGTTTTCTCTAAAGGCTTATCAATATAATATGTCTTGCATAAAGATGCTGTCTTTTCAGGACAATTGTCTGCCGATTTTTCATGTTTTTTTTTTTCAGGAGCATATAATAATATAATATAGGTAATCATAACAGAGATGTGGGTTTTGAAAAAAATGCAAAGAACATCAGGGAATGATGGGAAAAACAGATGAAAACTGTCGGCTGATAGAGAAATTAGATGTAGGCAGTGTTTTTCCTCGCTGACACAAAGAAGAAGTGGACTCGGGAACTTAGTTACAGCTTGATGGGGAAAAAGAGCAACTGGAAGGAAAAGTGATAACTAACATATGATAACTAACCAGCCCTGTGGATGGTTGAGACCAGAACACTGACGTGATCCATGATTCTGGTGAATGTGTGAGATGGTGAAACATGACAGCCTGTGCTAATCGGCATGGCACATGATGATGATGATGGTACTAAATGGCAACTTCTAAATTAGTCAGATAGTTGTGTGCTTCAACTTATTGTGTTTTTACTAGGCACAGATGTTATTTACTTATGACTAGATCATCTTTTCCTATTCTCTTATTTAAATAATGTGTGATTATGCCTCCTCTGGGAGCCGCCATGGTCGAGTGGCTAGACACTCGACTGTGGATCAGAAGTTCTTCGGTTTGAGTCCTGACAAAGTCCAGACTTTTTTCCAAAATGACCTTGGCTCCCAGGTCGACCCAGCCTTGAGTGGGTACGAATTACAATCCTGAGGAAGTAAAAGTGGCTGGTGGTGTGCTGACCACATCACCCACCAAGTACTGTTTTGTCTATAAAATATAGGTCTAGCCCTATATATCCATACGCCTAAAGGTTTGGAAAAGGGTCCGTTACTTTACTTACACCTTCTCTAATTTAAAAAAAAACACAAAGAATAACAGTTGGCATTACCCTAATAAATGCTCAATTTTTCTAAATGTATAAGTTCATCCTGAATAGTTACAATTGAAAGGTCTCTTATTTAGAATATCATTTTGTGCTATCTCCATCTCATTACATCGTGAAACACTTTGGGTAGTTTTGTTTTAATAACTTGTTTCTGTATATTGTACAGTGTCTATTTGTTGCACAGTTTTTTTTTTGTTTTTTTTTAGGTTACATTTTTGTTATGGGTACTTGCATTGCTTCTTTGGGTGTATTGTGATGTACAACATTTGCTATCTTCAGCTGCTTGGTCACTTGATACTGGCTGCAAGGATTTTTTTTTTTTTTGGGGTGCAGTTTGTCCATGAACTCTGTTACTCTTAACCTTCACACACCTTGTACCACTTTCCTGATATGAAAAGCACAAGCATGGCATCTTTGCACCTCACACCTCATGTTCACACTAGTGGAAGGCAAGACAGATACTGCTGTTTTAATCCATACTTCAGTTATAAGAGCAGCGGATAAGAGACTTGCTTTCAAATCCAGCTGCGACTTGCTGCAGCCCACAGCCGGTGTTTGAAACTGGACAGTTCCCAGGCTTCCCCCAGCCTCTAGAAAATAGGCACCAGAGTTGATGCTCTGAGATAAATGGAGGAATGTTGCTGTGTCTATGGAGTTTCGTGCAGACGGCGACACAAGTAGACAGTTTCTTATCAGCTGTCCGTACTGGTGGCAGAGCACTTATGGTTTATAACCGTGTGCAGTGACGTTGGCTCACATCTCCCGACTTTATTTTTCAGTTGTACTAATCCTTCATTGGCACTTTTTCTGCTTTCCAGAGGATAGTGCTACATTCGTTGTTACAGAGAGGCATGAAAATCACAGCTAATGAAGGCCAGTTATAAAGTTCATCGTCTCAACAGCACAAAGGTTCTGCAGTGTTGCAGAGACCATGTGTTGCCCATGCAGCATAAAACCTCTGTCGGTACAACAAATGATCTAGAATAATGATTGCCCATGCCAGATGGCAAGGCTCATGATGATTTTTGAGGAAGCTACAGTTAATCATTTATCTTGCTTAATTATTATCTTATTTAATCAACCTACAGATACACCTCAAAATGAGCAGCAAGAACTCTTCATCAAGAAGTTGCAACAATGTTGTGTTGTTTTTGACTTTATGGACCCAGTTACGGACCTGAAGAGCAAGGAGATTAAACGGGCATGCTTGAATGAACTAGTAGACTACATCACTGCTACTCGGAATGTGCTTACGGAACCTGTCTACCCTGAAATTGTTCGAATGGTGAGATTTGTTCCTATGTTTTACTGATGTTTTTTTTTTTATGAATGAGTAATTTTGTGTGTGTGGTGTGAATAAGCTTTTAACTCTTTTAGGTTAGGAAAAAAATATGACGTTATTTGTTTTTAGACATTAAATGAACTTTTCACGCCAGTCGTGCATCAAGCAATGATGTTAGACTCACATAAGTATAGGTCACTTGGCATTCAAATGGGTGATCTGGTCAGTGTCATGCCAGCCTCCTTTACTTCACAAGACTGTCTGGTGTCCGTTTTAGGAAGCCAATGTCATTTTTTTTTAAAAATACAACTTAATGCAGATTTGAAAAAAAACCTTTAGGCCAAAATGAGCGTCTAGCCACAAGGCTATCACGGCTCCTATGTGGTGCTCTGCTTGTGCTCGTTCATTAGTTGTCTGTTTAACATAAAACATTACATGAAAAACATGATAGGTTTCATAGAATTAAATGTATTCTGTGGTTGTAAAAAAAATATTTCCGGGTACCCATTATAGGCTGTATCTTTCTGGGAGCCCAGTCAAATAAACAATCTGCCTTGTGTATTTCTTGTTCATTTGATTTGCTTTGTTGTAATCTAGAATTGGTTCTCTGCTGACTTTTTCTCTTATGACCTCATTTCTGGTCACTCCTGCAGCCCGTCTTAGACATTTCATTATCATGGTTATCAATTTTATTTTCTGGTTTGTTGTGAGTGACCACGTCTGGTACTGGTAGCATAGGGTAGCAATGAATATGCTTTATATGAGATGTTTCTTTGTGCTGAATCATGCACAGTCAACAAAATAGTGAGAAATTATGTTGTATCTGCAAATGTATGGTTATAAAGAAGAATGATAACACCATGCAGCAGATTTATTGAGAAACAAGATAAAGTTTGGTCTTCTAGTAAGAATGCAACCAGAACAACTACCAACTGAGATGCTACACATAAAAAGTTCTGAAGTCAAATCAAGGGGCCGCCCTAGGAGAACATGGATTGATGACATTAAAGAGCTTATACGTCAACACGGAATGAAAAGGGGAAGGGAGGCAGGGGTAAACTTAAGAGATCTGATGTTGGGCAGTTAAATATTAACAGAGAAGAGCATCTTTTTCAGAAATCATTGCCAGTACTTGAGACATGTGGCTGGGGACATCAGTATGTAGCAGGTCCTTTGCAGAACTTCGCTCTCATCACAGTCTGTCTAAAACTCGGTCTCTCACCAGCTCTCCCACTCATGCACTTTCATACTCATGGAGTCATTTATAACCTGTGCTTATCTTCGTGTTGGTCGGCCTCTGCCCCTCCTTCCTGGTACTGTGCCTACTGCTATTATTTTTTCCAATCCGTTGTGGCACTTGATATGACCAAAATATTTCAGCTTCCGAGACAGGATGCTGTTTATTAGCCAATCTTCCTTGATGTTCAGATCTTTCAAAATGTCAGTATTTCTCTTCTTCTTTGTCTTAGATATTCTAAGAATCTTTCCACAGCATTTAAACTCAAAAGCCCCTATTCATAAGTGCTAATTAGGATCATAAAAAGAAAAAGATTACAAGAAGTCACTATGGCTATATTTATGATGGAGTGAGGTATTCGGCTGCCTAAGGGAACTGATGAACATTTCATGCGATGAATTCAAGAAAGACAAAGAAATATATCTGAACAAATGATTTTATTAACAGTTTTGAGAAAAGAAGACAAAATATTGGGCTGATCATGAGAAGTGGACAGCACTAAACAGGCACTGAAATGGGAAGGATAAAAGATTGCAGAAATGAGGACCTCCTAGAGAAACCCTGTGGCAAACATTGCTGAGAAAGGCTTCTTCTTCTTTTCCTTCGCCCAAATGAGGTAAATGCATTGTGCCTGTTTACAGCAGAGCTGCGATATTTGGTTCTTTATCTTCAAATGGAAAATGTGTATTTTTATATTTTATAGATTGCATGTAACATCTTCCGAACTCTTCCGCCAAACGACAACCCAGATTTTGACCCTGAGGAGGATGATCCTACATTAGAGGCTTCCTGGCCACATTTACAAGTAATGCTTCTTTTAATAATTTTATTTTTGTCCGTTTCTTCCTGTGTAACAATTTAGTGAATTTGCTCCTAATTTTGCTAAAATTGTTTTAAGCATGGTCTGATCAATTCATCAGTCTGATAACACTGTGTGTAATTTGGGTCACCAGTTGCTGTTGATTGTCAGATCAACTCCCACCATTTTTGTCAGGCAGATGTATTTAATTTAATGTTTATACATGTTTAAAGCCTGTTCATTCGGCCAAGTTCTATATACATATCTTTCTTGATCTGCCTCTTCCCCTATAGCGATCAGTAAATGAAGAAGAAATTGAAAATGTTGCAGTTTGTATATCTTGGCTCAAAAATTAGCAACAGAATATACTGTTTAATGAAAATTAGGAGACTTGCTTCAGCATTTCAACGATTAAAATGTATTAAAAGTCTTTGGCACGACAGCAAATTAAAATTGATAATGGAGAAACTGAAAATGTCACATATTTTGAATACCTAAACCCAGTAGTGAACAACAATGGCGACTGCACAAAAGAAGTCAAAACACTTGCTTTAGCAGTGCAGAGATTAAAAAGCATGAAGAATTTATAACACAGCACCTGCAAATGAGTTTAAGTGAACATTTGGAGTTCATGCTTGTGAGTCACAGACTCTTACTCAGTCATTGAAGATAAATCAGGGTTTTTGTATTAAAATGTTACAGAAACATCAAGGGTTATCTGCCACTTTTCTCTTTATGCTCAACCCCTTTGCCCTAGAAACCTGTTAAAACAACATGCTCAGAATTGGGAATTTACAAAAATAATCCTTTAAAAAACCACTATTTTACACAGGTCACTAATAAATTTTAAAATAATTTTATTTATATCCATTAAAATTTTTTTTTAAAGAAATTCATAAAGCGGAGTAATCGGTCAGTTAGGGATCAGAAGGAGAATTGGAATAATTTCCTAACAAATTGTATTTGATGTTTCATACCATGACACTGTGACCCCACTGCCGTGCGACAGGTAAAGACAAGACGTAATGGCTATTTATTTAACTCTAACAGGCCACTGGCCCGCTATTATGGGAATTTCCTAATCTGCCGCTAAACTGCTGTCCTTCAATGTCAGGAATTTGCGTACTATGAGAAAACAATGCTTCACAAACTAACTAGCCAATCGTAATCAGATCTCATGGATAGTCTTCTCAGATGTCAGCCCGCATTTATTTGGATTAAATTTGTGTTGATTTACGTGAAAAATTATGAAAATTCACAATAAAACAAGCGGCTGATGAACCAAGCACTTCGACAGGAAAGTGAAGTAGGTCTAGGCTTTTCACAGCCCAACAGGTGATTGATACTTTGGTTGATTCAGACTCTGCAAAGTCATAATTTCATGAAGAATACGTTCATAGTTGAAGTGAGAGCTGGAGTGATGAGGAGAATCTTGAACATTAGAAATCTAGAAATAGATCAAAAATATGAGAAGGGGGCGTGTCCCTTAAACAGCAACATCTGGTGTTCACTTTGTGAAAAAAGATTGATCCTGCTGGGTGGATTAGCACACAAAGGTGGAATATTGGTGCTAGATAAAAAGTAAACCTATTTTCCACAATGTCTCCAAGTTTCATCTTATTCTAGCCACTTGGTTGCATGTAACTAATATTTTTGTATATCATGTTGGTTTTTTCTTGTTAATGCCCAGGAGCTCAGGTATAGGAGGCAGTTAGGTTCAGGGCCTTAGGTCTGGTAGCATTTAAAAGGCCTTCTCCAGAGGCTTTTTTTTAGTAAATACAATACCCTCCTAAACACTAAACAAGCAAACAGAACTATTGAGCTGCCAATTAGTAGACTCTTATGGCATGCTTTAAGGCAGGCACTAGGTCTGTTCTTGTTTTCCCCACAATGGGGCTCTGAACCCACATGGGATTCCTTGGATTTATAATGGATGGCAATGTCAGATTATTAGCATCTTGGGCAAAGAGGGTTAAAATAACAATGTTAACTGTACACTGAGCAAATTTTTAAAACTAAAATTAAAACAAATGCTGTGATGCAATAACAATATTAGGGACAGATATCAATAAGTCTCTCTCACTTACAATAAATGTCAAGCATGTGTTCACATTATGACTGAAATATATACATATACACAGTAACTCATCCTGAGCTAACTACACATCTCTCTTTATTTCAAAGGGAGACCCAGTAACTGTGTGTCCTGTATTAACTCGAGGTATTCCATGTCACCAGTCCCAGGTTTCAAATAACCTACCAGCAGTTGAATGGGTGTGGCAGGACTCTGTCATTTGCTGATGAAATTTTAGTCTATCGACATGGAAGAAAGCATCATGTGATTGTCAGTGCATGGCAGAGTGAACTTGATCGCATCTCCTGGTGTGAGGATTCCAGTGCAAATGTCAACCCTTCAAAATCCTCAGTAACCTGGTTTTCCTTGAACACGCATATGGTTAAGGCAGACCTACCAGTGGTAGAAATTGGTGTCGAAGCTTTGACTAGAACACACCCGCTGACATATTTGGGTGTAAAGTTTGATCGCAGTCTGTTCTTCAAAGTCCATGTCAACGATGTTATAACAAAAGCCCGTAAAGTAACGGTTCTCAACCTGTGGGTCGCAACCCTTTCACGTGGGCTGCCTAAGACCATAGGAAAATTTACATTCATTGATGTTATAAAGGAAGATAATTGTTTAGGGAGGCCACCACAACATGAGGAAACTGTATTAAAGGGTTGCTACACATTAGAAAGGTTGAGAGCTACTGTCGTAAAGGCTTATCAGCAATGAGGGTCCTGGCCACAGCCAGCATCGAGCAGAGACTGCTTTTGCTACTGTTCCAGGAACTGGTTCTTTCTTCAATCGAATATGCTTAAGCCATGCTCACCGTCAGCGATACTCAGACTGAAAGACTGCAAAAGGTGCAAAATGAAACCGTGCACATTATTCTAGGGTGCACAAGAGACACCTTGCGTAGCAATATCTTCTTGACTTTCCAAAAATGCACCATAAGATGAAGATCTGGAGAACGTGCGTACCTGAAGATAAGCTCGGATTTGAAGCACCCTCTGCAGAATGTTCTCTTTAGAAAAAAGGGCAACAGGCTAAAAAGGGGCAAATCCTGGCTCGGTAGGGCTGAGGACCATATACAGGTCTGCAGTCTTACAGTCATCAACCTCGGTGAATAATGGATACCTGTGCCCCAGGTGCTCAATTACACTTTTTCTTGTGTTGCCAATCTTGATAGGAGCTGTCAGGAGCAGAACCCAGTTGCTGTCAATACACAGGTTTACGCGCTCATATGTGGAAATTTAGATGAGGCAGATGTACTGATCACAGATGGGTCCGTTGTACGAGGACAAAAAAGTACATGGGCATTTACTGCATGCTGTGCAGGCAGTACAGTAGGGGAGGCCAGTGATTCCTTCTCTGTGACTACTAGGAGTATGACAATGGAGGTGATGGCAGTGACACAAGCTTTTATGTGGCTAGCATCGCAGGACTATTCTCACATGTATGTGCTGAGTGGTTACATGAGCATGATCTGGAGGATCGAGGCGGGCTTTGTGCGCAGACAATGGATCGAATCATTGCAAAACTCTACTGTGCGTGGAGTTACCTTAATCTTTGTACCAGGGCAAGCAGGTGTTGTTAGCAGTGAAAGAGCAGACAGATTAGCCTGCTCTGCCTTAGTTACAGAAGGCCAGCCCATGGATCATGCCGACATTGTTAATGCCATTAGAGAGGTAGGACGTTCGGAGGATTCTGTGAGCAGCACTTCCACATCTTTGCTAAGAGAGCAAGAATTGGGAGGAAAGATTGGCACAGCCAGACACTTGAAGCACACAGGACACTCGAGAAGTCTTGTCAGTTAAAATATGACTGGGACTATCACCGTGGGATGCTGATGTATATGTTGAAGGGCGAATCTGAGCACCTATGGACGTGTCCGGAGTGCCTTGAAGATAACCCAGATCATAACTCCACATCATAACTCATTTCAAAATGTCTGTGTGTTTTGTTTTGTTTTTCATCAAATTAATACACGTAATAGAGAAATGTTGGCCATACATAGCCATTCCTGAAATGGATGTAACATTGCTTTTTTTAGTGTAAACAAAAAAGTTATTTGGTTTGACCATTTTTACATTTGTCTCTTTGCTGTGTTTTAGATGGTTTAGATGACGGATCAGCATCATGTCACAGGGGGTAACGCATAAGTGCTCCGTTATACATCTGACAAAAGCTTGAATCCGAAAAATCTCAGTGCAGCGCACAAACTCTGTAGCACCGACGAGGATCCTAAAAGACTGGGTAGTTTTTTAACTCCAAAGTTTGCCTGGGCAGTGCCGTTACGCTACACTTTTCGATTTCCAACTGCCATGGAATTTTGTAACGTGCGCAACAACACATACAGGTGTCCAGTCTTACTACCCAAAGACCAGGGGAACCACCAAAAGTCCACATGAAAAAATCCCAGCCTTCACCGGGACCTGGGACCTCCAGCACTCAAGGCAGATGTTATTCTTCAAGACCACACAGCCCCTGTGTTTTAGATACTGGCATATACAATTAAATTACTAAGATTATATCATGGATTTCTGATAAGGTATTGTTTTAATTTCTCGTGTCTTTTTCATCCACAGATTGTGTACGAGTTCTTTCTGCGTTTTCTAGAATCTCCAGACTTCCAGCCTAGTTTGGCGAAAAAATATATAGACCAAAGATTTGTACTTCAGGTTAGAGAGAGATTATGTTGTACATATACACAATAATGTTTCTGAATTGTGGTGTTCTATAGCATAGTTTTTAGTTTCTCCTTCTCTTCATCTTTCCCCATTCTTTCTTGTGTCTCTCTATCTTTCTTCCTCCCCTTCTCTTTTCCCTTTCTCTCTCCCTTTCCTCCAGGTCACTTATCTATGCAGTCTCTACAAAACCATTTATTTGATAAAACACTATATTAGTAATTTGTTTCTAAAATGTTTTTTCTATATCTTGACTCTTTTATTTCTTCTCTTTCCCTCCTCTTTCCTTTCTTTTCTTTTCCCTCTGACATTTCCTACTCTTAAGGTGGCCAGAAGAGCACGAATGAGAACCCTGTATCTTCTTCGACACTTGGAGTAATAAAAGAGGAAGTGAAAGGATGAATGCTTATTGCCCTATACAGTATTAATCCAAGTTCTGTTTAATTTTCTTTTTTGAACACGTGACTACACATGAATTGAGCATTATATCAGTGCACACAGAGGCATAATGATTTTCCCTTGCCTTCAGCACTCACATAGGAGATTTACATGCTAGAAATATTCTGTTTTTAGTTTTTTTTTTTTTAAATGTAGTTTCACCTGGGCAGCAACCAGTTAGAAATTTGTGTATAGTCTCTGGAGATGTGACTTTACAGAAGAATAATTAGTATTTCATAGAAACAAAAACAGTCAAATGCAGAGGTTAAGTAGAGACTAGGGTTGAAAAAAGAATTCATCATCCTCGTTTAAAAAAAAAAATTTGAAATATTTGACCATATCAAAAGACTATCATCATCATGTGCTGTGCCAGTAAGCATAGGCTGTCGTGTTTCACAATCTCACATGATCACTAGAAACAAATAGGGTCAGTATTTTGTCTCGCACCATAAGCATAGCTCGCTCAATTCTGTTCCTTCTCATAACATGTCCCCAAGAAAACACAGACTGTAGAAATGGACTAATAATTGTATGCATGATATTTTTTGCATTCTTCCTAAAAAGCCAAAACTCTGACATTAGTGAGTTTGTTTAGGTTTGTTGCTTATATTGATTTGCTGAAGACATTTTGCCATTTAAGTGTTATCTCACGCTGGTAGTGTTATCTCACGCTGGTAGTGTTATCTCACGCTGGTAGTGTTATCTCACGCTGGTATAGGAGTCACTGTAAAGTTGTCGGCTAGACGCCCGTCTGCAGATCAGAAGGTCGTGGATTCGCGTCCTGATGGAGCCTGACTTTTTTTTAAATGTAAAAATGACCTTGACTCCCAGGTCGACCCAGCCTTAAGTGGGTACCAGATGCAGTCCTGGGAAGTAAAGACGGCTGGCATGATGCTGACCACATCACCCACCAAGTGCTGATTGGTCTGTAAAAATATAGTTCTCGCCCTGTATTCCCAATACGCCTAAAGGTGGGGATAAGGAACCTTATTTCACACTGGTTTATTTTCTTCTTGGTGATGATCATTGTTTCAGTTTTCTTAAATTTAGTTTCTCACTGTGAGCTATTATTGCATCCGCTGTGCATTTACTGTGATCATTTAGCAGTGTAATATTCATCTACATATCTGTTACTTTAAAAAAAATTTTTTTTTTTTTTAGCAACGAGACATAGCACCTTTATAAAGACCTTACGAAAGAAAAACGTTGAGGGCAAGTGAGCAAGAGGCATACAGCGATGCTGGTGGCAGAATAGCATTGAAAGATGGACAAACAGCAGTCTGAGATGGTGTACATCCAGGGCAAAGACAGACCAACCTTCAATGCTGAGATGGCGCCTGACTGAGCAGCCAATCCCAGCTTGCTCTTTAACATTTGCATTTGCTAGGAAATTATAAATAATGCTTAAAGTTCCTTGGCAAGCCAAAATTAGTAATTTAAATGTTTTTTAAAGACTAAGACCCTACTACAAGGAATTACAAACATCAGAAAGAGAAAGGGCAAGCTGGAGCATGTGACATGAAGAAAGATTTATGGAGATAGAAAAAAAGAAAATGTGAGAAGATTCTTGATATCTTTTTGTCAAGTCATCGAATGTTGTCAGCACATAGACTGATGCATGATGTTGAAGACTGCAAGATGTAAAGCATGATTGACTGACACAGTCAACAAGATGATGTTGAAATTTTTTTTTAACATATTCAGTATGAATCCAGGACATAGTACATTTGTTTTTCCAAGAAGGCTATGCATTTTATTCTTCACCGTGGGGAGCATTCTTCTACTTTAAGTGTTCTTTTTTTTTCAGCTGCTTGAACTGTTTGACAGTGAAGACCCAAGGGAGCGAGATTTTTTAAAGACTGTCCTGCACAGGATATATGGCAAATTTCTTGGGCTGCGGGCATTCATCAGGAAACAGATTAATAATATTTTTCTCAGGTTAGTCAGTTGATATGTCAATTCTAATATGTTCATAATATTGTTCAGAAATGTGAATCATGTTTTTTTTTTTTTAAGCTGAAGTATATATATTTTTAGTCAGTGTTTGTGGCTTAGGCGTTGCGAACTAACTTAATAATGCTGGGGTGCCGGGTTCGACCCCAGCTGCAGGCCTTGCGTTGGTTTTGACAGTAGTATCGAGAAGGCAGCCCTCCAGAAAGCATGGCAAATTACTGGACGTAAATTTGCCTTGAAAAACCACAACAGCCAAAAAATGCTGGTGTTGGTTCTGCAACGTCCTGTAAAGGATACGCAACAAACTTTTTTATATATTTTTTATACATTTTAACGGTACTGTTTCTTAAATTAAAAGAATTAAATGAAAAAATTGTAAAAACTATCAAAACTTTAAAAATCCACCGCCAGATTATCTTCTCCTGTTTAATAAATTTAAATGTTCACTTCAAAATTTTTTTAGTTTTTTTCATAAATTTAAACATTCACTGCCAAATTGCCTGCTTTTCTAACATCAGTTTTTTTGTCTGTTCTCGATTTATATACTTTAACAGTCATTACCCGATTATCTTCTCTGTTGTGGCTAGGAAATAATGGAGTAAATAAGGCTGTTAGGATTCATGTAATTAGCACCATTCCGCTTTTTTTTTTTAATTTGTAATTTTATTTTTCCATCATTTCTAATGGCTCAGTTTATCTGATTTTATCTATTTTCTAAGTTTTTTCCCCTGGCTTACAGTTGTCCTCAATCTACCTGCAAGGTTGCAAGTGTCACTTCGCTTATTCCTTAGTCTATTCAACATCGGAAATCCAACTTAAATGCTTCACTTCTGTCTGCACAGATTGTGTGATCCTTGGAAAATACTAGTCCCTCTAACAATTCCTCTGGAGACACAACTGATGGTTAATCGCAGATAAAGGCAGATTTAACCAAAAACATAATAAATGCTGTAAATATTTCAGGTTTATTTATGAAACTGAGCAGTTCAATGGTGTTGGAGAGCTTCTGGAAATTCTTGGGAGCATCATTAATGGGTTTGCTCTGCCCCTGAAGACGGAGCATAGGCAGTTCCTCATGAAGGTTCTTATCCCACTGCATAAATCTCGAAGCCTAAGTCTGTACCACGCTCAGGTGAGGATGTATTTATTTGTGTTTATCGCAGAGATAGTACCAACATTGCATGTAACTACAGCTAATTTTTTTGTTCAGCAGTAAGAATATTCAAACATAAGTTATTTGTAATTTAGTTTATATAAATAAGACATTGTTTATTCATAATCATTTTAGAGTCTTTTATTTTTAGAGTGACCTGCCTTTTGTACAGGCTACGACATGTTAATGTTTACACAAGAGTTGCTGTTGTTGAGATCAGGCTTACATTTATAACATTATTTATTTTGATCATTTTTATAGGTGATAAAAGGCTTACTGAAGTTTTGGCCTAAAACCTGCAGTCAGAAAGAGGTAAGCAGTGTTATTAGCTGAAGTGACCAAAGGAATGGAAGACTAGTGTCATGGGTTTTGTATCGCACATAGCATTGTTAATTTCCCAATGGTCATGTGGTTTGTCTCGCGCTCTGAAGGTCGTGGGTTTGTTTCACTGTGGCACCATTCCAGTTCATGAGTGAACTTTACCGAGAGCCCTGGAGTTTGTTGCTGGAGCTGCAGAGGTCGTGCTTTATGTGATGCTCTCAGCAGGCAGCAAGCTGTTCTGCAGAGAGAGACCAAGCCATATGGGTTAAAACTCAGCACAATAAAGCTGATTCTCTTACCTTTATCTTTACCTTTATTGTTCATATCTCAGAAATTAGTCCTCAGAAGTAGAAAGTAGAGGTAAATTTCACAAATTAAGCCTTGGCTCCTGTCTCCACCCAGTCTAAAAAAAAAGGGTGCCAGGATGTGTCTAGGGAAGTAAATGTGGTCATTGTGATCTTGACCGTGCCACCATTTTAGTGCTGATTGGTCTCTGGAAAATATGAGCCTAAAACCACAAATGGAAAATTCTTAGTTTCTGTACATACATTATACATGTTTCTGTGAATTTTTTTTTTTTTTTTTTTAAAGTGGAAAAAAATATAAAGCCTTCACTGGTTTTCAATACTTTTTCTATTTTAGGTTATGTTCTTGGGGGAAATTGAAGAAATCTTAGATGTGATTGAACCTGCTCAGTTTCAGCGAATCCAGGAGGATTTATTTCGCCAGATTGCTAAATGTGTATCAAGTCCACATTTTCAGGTGAGTCTGACTGTTATATCTGTTTTGAAAATGGTTGAGTTAATAATTGATGTCACAGCACTCATGTCATTCACTTAAGTGCTCCGTTGCCTTGTCTCCTGCAACTAGCACTGTTCCAGTTCTGATGGTACCTTTGGCCATCTGATTGTACTGTTATCTCTGGAAACAGTTATGTCCCAAATGCAACATATCAAGGCAAAACTGTTGGCCAAGAGAAACATCAGTGCAAGTCAAACTTTACGGCTTGCTAAATGAATTACAAAAGACAGTGAAGTTTATACTAGAGACATCTTTGCCAATAAAGATAATTTATTTCATGTGAACGAAAGGAGAAGAAGAAGTTGTGTATGTTATATCTTCTTCTTCTTGTTCACCGGCTGTGAATTCCGGCGGTAAGTCCCGGTTGTTCGTCCAATTGGACTTTTGGCTTTTACCTTGACCTGAGTTTTGCGTGTACATCCGTTTAACTGGCTTATTTGTTTGCAGTTCTCGTTCACTGCCTCTCTGGCAGATGTACTCCAACTTCGAGGGAAGACGTCAATCCTATCTCTAGGTTGACTGTGGCCATTGTTTTGTGTTGGTCGAGACGTTGCCTCATTTGAATAGTGTCCTCTTTGGCCCTTTACAGGTGTGGTCCCTGGAGAACCCCCCCCCCTTTCCTTAGTGCAGCCCTAGGTAGAATGGTCAGCCCTCTTTGATTGTCCTCCCGCGCCGAGCGTGCTGTGAACGCCCATGCACTTCTTTGTTGTGGTATAACAGAACCGTCTGTGTAGATCAGTAGATCTGCTTTGTCTGAGTTATTGCTGATAAGAGCGTTGACCTCTGCATTGACCACAACAGCATTTAGAAGTAGTTTTACGGGTAAAAATTGTGATTGTAGTATTTGTTTGGTCATCATCATTATGTTGTGCTAGCATACTACACATTGGACTGACTCGCAGTCTAATCTTCTATTCCATTTTGTCCTTGGAATCCTTTCGTAATCGTGGATGGAATCCAGTTCAGCATTTTTAGCCTCACTCAACAACATTCATATTAAGGTTTCTTTTAACTTTCATTCACCTTTCTAAAACTCTTTCAGTATAAACACTTTCAGTACCAAAAACTCACTATTGGTTTGCTAGTTCCTTTTTTTTTTTTTAATGTGATGTGCTTTTCTTTACTCCTTGTACATTAAGTCGGGGCTATTCAACTGCAGGCCGACAGGCCGAATCTGGCCCCCAGCAAGTGCCCCTCAGATCAGTAGCAAATTGTATTGTACTATTGATATTTCTACCCTGTGGTTTGGGCCTCTGGCCTGCAGTGATTCCAAATTTCAACGTTTTGGCCCCTGAGTAAACTTAGCTGAGTGAGGACATTCTAACCCAACTTTTACCTCAACTAATTTTGTTGTATAATGTTGTTATAATATTAAACCCAGATCATTGTCTTGATATGCAGGTGAACATGTTTAGGCCTGTATATGTCTTCCTTCAAGTAACTCATGTTTGGTATATAGGAAATTAAATTCTTTCATTGGGTTCTGTGGCCCCATTTTTTAGGAAAAAAAGAATATACACTTTACAAGCATGTCATAAAATCGACCATTCAAAGGTTTATTCAGTTGCTGGGTCAAAAGCACATATGTCACAGCATATCTGTAAACTGCAACATACTGGATCATCTGGCCTTCTAAGGATAACACAGAAGAAGAAGAAGAATGCTTTTCCTGTGTGGGTTCCGGGGCTCTATTATAGGGAAAACAAGAACAAACCCACTGCCTACCCAAAAGCATGTCGTAAGAGTCAACTAATTGGGAGCTTCCTTCAAAGTCGGAGTGCATCTGCCTGTGAGGCAAGAAACCAGCAGTCTGCATACCCAACACTCAGATTCTGAAACAGGACTGCAGTCCAGAAGTGGACGAATAACCAGGACTTTCCGCCGGAATTTACAGCCGGTGAACGCAAAGAAGAAGAAGAATTATTGCCTGCCTGGAACCCGAAACGTTCAGTCTTAGAAATAGCCAAGGTCGGTCCAGACAATCTCAGTGCAAGTTCAAAAGAAACTTTCTGTGCCAAAGAGACAACCCCATGTGTTAAGTAAAGATTAGCTACAGTTATCAAAAATGTGGCTGGCAGAGGTTACAAGGCTGGGCTGTCATGCGGAAGACCTGGTGCGAATCCTCGGTAAGGCCGGTTTTTTTTTCCTGTTGGGGGAGAAATAAACATATTAACTTGCACAGCTTATGGTGACTGCGCTACCCATGTGATTCAAATTCTCACGCTTGAACCACCGTTTCCCATTTTTCATCACCCTAAAAAGTGGTAAATACAGGCAGTAAAGTCATGTCTATTATGTCCTGCTCATGTCGCTGTTGTCACATAAGGTCTTCACTTCACAAGTGATCTCCATTGCTGTTGTTATACTGCTTTTCTGTCTGTGGCATTCCATATTATTTTATATTTCTTTATTTCCCTTTCTGCTGTCCTTCTCCAGTTTATTTCGGTTGTCCACGTCTCCTTTTTCTGTCTGCTGTCCATAAAAGAGCTGTCCTTGCCAAAGTGTCGCGAGGCATTCTACAGACATGTCCATGCCATCTCCATCTTCCTTTGATAACATTTGCCATTTTTTCTTAAAATATTCACAGGATGCTCCTTAGACATTTTATTTTTTAAATCTCTAGTGTAGTTCCTGATGCCATTTTTGCAATGCTTACTGTTGTAAAATAGCATTCTTAAAATATTGCTCTTGTATAATGTTAGTTTTGTGATTAAACTAAGTACTTTTGATGTCCATAGATTGTTAAGCATGGCAAATACTTGGTTTTTTTTTGGTTTGTTTACTCTTGATGTTACATCCTTTTCACAGTAACTGGAGTAACTTTACTTCCAAGGTATATAAATTCTTTGACTTTTCTATTGTTTCATTGTTTAAGATAATTGGGTTTTCTATTTTCATATTATTTCTTAGTCTAGTTTTGCTGGTAATCTTTGAGTCCTATCTTAAGGACTATTGTCAAAAGTCTCTTAATCTTTTCCGGAGCATTCACTTAATGGCTTGATATAAGACTGATGTCATCTGCACAGTTCAGATTCTCTAAAATTGATGTAAGTGACCATCTGATACCTCTTTTCTATCCCTTAAAACTTTTTTTTTATCAACCAGTCAGTAACCAGGTTAAACAAAAATGGTATGCATCCCTGGTTAACTCCTGTATTAACAAAGAAACTTTCTGTTGTATGATTATTGCAAACTTCATTGCATAGAAGATCTATGATGAAATTGCTTTGATCACATTTACTTTTTCTGTGGTATTTCTATGGTCTGTTCTTGTTTCCCCCCACATTGGAGCCCGGAACCCATATGGGGATTGCAGACTATCAAAAAATCTACAGTCTGAAAACGGTATAAACGGGACCAATTGGTTCGTTACTTTGTTAAATTATTTCACGCTGCATGAAAATATGGTCAGTGCATGATTTCCCCTTTCTAAAACCAGTTTGCTCTTGCATAATTTTTCAATCAAGTCCTTAGGTTATTCTTTTAAGGCTAATCCAGCTGAAGTTTTTACTTGTTACTTATAGTAATGTGATACCTCACTAGTTATTACTGTTTCCTAAATCTTCTTTCTTTCATTTGTAGTTTGATGTTACAATTTGTCCGCACCTTTAGAATTTCCTCCTTGTTCTAGATTTCTTGAAAAATCTTGCAGGTAGTTTTGGAGTATCTGTCTCCTCCACTTTCAGTATTTCTGGACAAGTTCCATCACTTCCAGGTGCTTTGTTAACCTTTTAAGCTTTAATAGTGTCCCTAAAAACAAATTATTCCTAAATGTGTAATAAAAGTCAATGGTGTTATTTTAAGACAAGTACAGAAATTTAAGTATCTGGGCACATGGATAACATCAGATGGAAGATGCATAACTGAAATAAGAAACAGAATTGGACAGGCAAAAACTGCATTTTATAAAATGAAAAACATCTTGTGCAATATATCCTTGTCATTGAGAGTTAGAAAAAGAATTCTTGCTTGCTACATACATCCAGTTTTAACATATGGATGTGAATCCTGGACAATCGGTAGGCAGGCCAAACAATTTATGGAGGCCTCAGAGATGTGGTTTTACAGAAGAATGCTTAGAATACCTTGGACAGCCAAAAAGAGTAACCAAGAGGTTTTAAAAGAGGCGGGAGACCGAAGACAACTTATCACTGACATCAGAAGGAGACAGTCATCATTTTTCGGCCATGTTATGAGAAGAGGGAAAATAGAACATGTTGTGACCACTGGAAAGATCTGTGGAAGGAGGGATAGAGGAAGACAACGAGAGAAGATGCTTGACAGTCTTGTTGCATGGCATGGAGGTGTGTCGGCACACGAACTGATACATGCTGCAGGAGATCGCGGATTATGGAGAGGCATGATCGCCCACGCCAGTCGGCAAGGCACCTGATGATGATGATGATGAGTGTCCCTAAAGACTGCCTCTAGAAATGGTTGTAAGCTTTGCATGTACAGGTGAGACTAGACAGTTTAGTAATTACCGGTATTCTTTCCACATTTTCAGTTCTCCATTATCTGCTGTAATTATCCTTCCACTCTTTGATTTCATAGGCAAACTTGGGAGTGATACCACATTTCCTTTGTTTCTTAGTTATATTATACAATGTTTTCTTCTTTTTCTTCTTCTCTTCTTCTTTGTTCACTGGCTGTGAGCTCTGGCCGAAAGTCCTGGTTTTTCGTCCACTTGGACTTTAGCTTTGTGCCAGGGCCTATTTTTTGCATGTAAATCCATTTTACTGGCCCTTTTATGTGCAGTTGGTTGTTCCTTGCCACTCGGCAGATGCATTCCAACTTTAAAGGAAGCTCCCAGTTAGTCGTCTCTTACAACATGCTTTTTTGGGTCTATTCTTATTTTCCCCACGACGGGGACCCGGAACCCACACAGGGACTACAGTGTTTTGATGTCCTGATTATTCGCTGCTTCATCTGCTTCTTTTACTAGCTTTTATATAAGAAAAAGACATTGTTTACAGTTCTGTAATCGTAGGTTTATTTGACAACAGGTTGCAGAGCGTGCCCTGTACTTCTGGAACAATGAATACATCATGAACTTGATTGAGGAGAATTCTAACGTGGTGCTGCCCATCATGTTCCCTGCTCTGTACCGCATATCTAAGGAGCACTGGAATCAGACCATTGTGGCACTGGTGTACAATGTCCTCAAGACCTTCATGGAAATGAATAGCAAACTGTTTGATGAGCTGACAGCTAACTACAAAGCTGAACGGCAGAAGTGAGTCTTCTTTATTTGTTACTTCTGTATTTATTAAATTTTTTTCCTTCTAAATACAGTTAAGTCTTAGTCGAGGTTTCAACTTCACTGCAATCGGGTCACCCCATACTTGCTCTTTTCCTGTGCCAGTGAAAATCAGATAAAATTTCCCTGTCTTATTTGAAAAACTGGTGAATAAACTAGTCCCGGCACAATCCCGAAGTGGAAAAGGGGGGGGGGGGGGGTATGAACTCACTATCCCAAAACAGTTCTTTAAAATAACAATGTTATTCAAATTCCTCATTAAAAAAAATTTTTTTTTTAAATTGATAAATTATTGCCACCAAAAATACCTTCACTGCAATGCTATTTTTGGTACCATCCCTATAAACACTGTGCAAGTGCAGTTAACCGGTCTTGTCAGGGAGACTGGTCATTTCAGCAAGGCCAGTTTAACAGTTTCTCAGGAATTTGTTTTTGTAATGTACAGTTATGCTGGACTGGCAGCATCTCAGGATGATGAGTGAAATATGTGTCACATGTAATCTAAACCGTCTCTTCTTTTCTTTGGCTATCATGTTTTGTTTCATAAATTGTGAATTGCTTGTTTTGTTATTTTTAATATTTCTCATGTGTGTGCTTTCTTAAAGTAATATATCTCTGAGGATCTTATTTTAAATTGGCTTTTTATTCCCTTATTCCTCAGAGAGAAAAAGAAAGAAAAGGACAGAGAAGAATTATGGAAGAAGTTGGATCGTTTGGAACTGAATAGCAAGAAGAATAGAAAATCTTAACGCCGTTGTTTTTATAACTCTTGAAAGTGTGAAAGGCACGGAGAGCCAATTATATATTTATTTTATTGTTAACGTGAAATAAATATGATATCTAGTGAATCAGAAGTAATTTTTTTTCTCCCCTTTTTTTATGGTTACTGTTGTTTATTTTTTCTTTTTCATACGGTTTGTTTATGATTTTTAATAGTTTATTTTTACCAATGAAAACTGGTGAAATAATTTTCAAATAGAGGTCAGCTAAGTATATAACTATATCACATAATGTGTGTGGCATTAATGTACCCTCAACTGCTTCTTGTAGTGACCCACGTGCCAAAATCACTGACTGACATATGTGTCGAGCATGTTCCGCCTGAATACCTGTTTGTGATGGCTGTTGTAATCATTCTGCTGTTTTGGTAATTTGGCTGCAGTTTGGTTTTCCAGGATATTTCAAGGATATTATACTGTTTCCTCTGATGTATTCTTAAATTCAATATGGCTCCTGTTGACTCAGTTATATCAATGTTTCATCTGACATATATTTTTCTTTTGAGTATGTGTGTTTTATTTGTTAAAATGTATGTTTTTATAAGGGTGTGGTGTTCAGAAAGTAATTTACCCTTTTTTTTATATAGGGGCATTGCTTTCTGAATGCCCCTCTGTTGTTTTTGCTGACTGGGTCATATGTATGTTTCCTCTGATGTATTCAAATGTAAGTTCCTATATTGCTCCTGTTGACTCAGTCATATTGACGTTTCATCTGACCTAACCGTAATTTCCGGAATTTTCACTGATTATTTATGTGATTCTTTCATATGTGTGTAAAAATGTTTGCACTTGACTGATCTATACATCTATGTTCCGTCAACTCATATGTATGTTTATATATGTTTCCTCTTGTTTCTATAATATTTGTGTTTTTCCTTCTTCACTTGTGTATATGTTTCCTCTTGACTTATCCACATATACATGTTTCCTCTTGACTCTCAGATATGTATGTTTGTGAATATGTTTACTCTTGATTCTGTCATATTTGTGTTTGCTCCTGACTCCTCCACATGTACATGTTTCCTCTGGACTCTTTGAAGTATATGTTTATGTGGAGGTTTCCTCTTAACGTCACCATATGTATGTTTCCTCCTATGTCATCTTCAGCATGGTTTCTCTGGCTCGTCAAGGCATATAATTTTCCTCTTGACAATGCCAGATTTGTTTCCTCTTAATGCCATCTTGCATATGCTTCCTTTGATTCCTTTATATCTGTGTAGTTTCTGCTGATTTCCTCACATTTCAGCTGATATGTCAGATATAATTGTTTATCTCATGTTGTGATGACTCTGTACATAGAAACAGGATTTTGTTTAGTGTACACTATTTTCTTATGACAGCAGTTTGGCCGTGAAATATTAGAATACTAATACTAATGGAGAGAAAGGGAATAATTGGCAGGTAGCAGGCTGCATATGAAAGTCTGCTGTTATGGTAAAAATTTCGGATGACCCTATTGTTAATTTAGTGTGCTCACTTGCTTATGGACATACGTGCAAAGAAATATACATGGATTGTACATTTAATGTTTTTTTTTTAAAGAATTTTTTTGTTTGATTGTTTGTTTGTTAATTATTTTTTTTTAATGATTTGATTTCTTACACTGATGTTGTGAAGATTGCTTTTCAGTATTGGGTTGTTCATGTGTGTATAAATTGTATTTAAGTGGAACAGTTTTACTGAGTTTTTTCCTTCTATAAATTACTTTCCAGTTGTGCAGTAAAATAGGTGGTGAGAATTGGTTGGCATTCATTTCTAGAGTTTTCATTTTGTTATGCAGTGTTTCTTCATAGCTCACTCATGGACATATGCATTTTAGCTTAGCGTCACTGATGAGATTTGTGAAGGGCTTTGAAAGTCATTTAGCATAAACATATTCAGAAGGCATTTGTAGGACATACTTTGGTATGACATTTATTTTATCACCATAGTGTTCTTACATTTATTTTGCCTTTCGCCCCCCCCCCCCCCCTCCCCCTGTCAATGAAGTGTTAGCCCTCAACCAACTCATGCCATGTTCTCCTTATTCTTTGTTATGCAGCCATACCATATTGTTTATCTGTCTCTGCTTCTTTCTGTCTTTTCAGTCCCTTCTTTTTTTTTTCTCTGAGGTCTGCAGATAAAGAACTGTCATTTACCAAAATGTGTACCTAAAACAAATTAGCGGACCATCCTTTTTCCAAAACTCTACCACGGACTCTATACTTTTAAATAGTCATACTCCTGGCTCTCTAGCCTAGTTGGCTAAACCGGATTGCACGATGAGCGGGTTATGAACTCCTTGTGGTCCGGGTTCACTCCCGGGGGTAGGCAGAAAAGCCACATTTACTCCCAGATTTATGGTATTTACAATGGAATCAAGGCCGAAAGGTTGCGATGTCCATTATACCGAGCCTAAGGGTTAACAACCCATGGCTTCTGGATACTAAAACAAACAAACAGTCATACTGAAAAACTGATTATAATTTATAAATATTAGAATCACAGAGCAAGCACTGTATTCTAAGGTTCTTTTTTGTAAATAATTTCACTTGATCTTGAATTTTATTTCACATACCACCAGCTAAAGAATTTAAAAGTTTAAATTGAAGCAATGAAATTAAAAGAAATATTAATTTCATTTTTTTACTTTGAAGTTACATGTAAAATTCCTTCTTAAATTATTCATTCTTACTCTTGACTAATTCATCCTGACTGTGAGAGCTGATTCATCCTTACTCTTGACTGAATCATCCTGTTAGCTGTTTCATCCTGACTGTGAGAGCTGATTCATCCTTACTCTTGACTGAATCATCCTGTTAGCTGTTTCATCCTGACTGTGAGAGCTGATTCATCCTTACTCTTGACTGAATCATCCTGTTAGCTGTTTCATCCTGACTGTGAGAGCTGATTCATCCTTACTCTTGACTGATTCATCCATTCATCCTGACTGTGAGAGCTGATTCATCCTTACTCTTGACTGAATCATCCATTCATCCTGACTGTAGGAGCTGATTCATCCTTACTCTTGACTAATTCATCCATTCATCCTGACTGTGAGAGCTGATTCATCCTTACTCTTGACTGATTCATCCATTCATCCTGACTGTGAGAGCTGATTCCTCTTTACTCTTGACTGATTCATCCATTCATCCTGACTGTGAGAGCTGATTCATCCCTACTCTTGACTGATTCATCCTGACTGTGAGAGCTGATTCCTCCTTACTCTTGACTGATTCATCCATTCATCCTGACTGTGAGAGCTGATTCCTCCTTACTCTTGACTGATTCATCCATTCATCCTGTGAGAGCTGATTCATCCTTAATCTTGACTGATTCATCCCTAACTAACAATTCATCCTGACTGTTAGCTGGTACTTTACACTGAACACATTCATGTCTTCTTTCCATCTTGTGGTTGTAACTGTTGCCATTATTATTCTGCAACTAACTGCTTCTCTTGGTGTTTTTTTGTTTGTTTGTGTGGCATTCTCTGCCTCTTTAGGTAACATTAGGACCACTCCTTCATTGATAGAGACATTTATTCTTTATGGCCTGTGAACAGCATTGTTTCCCAGAATATTAAATTTATTACATTTAATTTCCACTACAGTTTCTGCTGTCTTTCCCAGGTCATGAGTAGTCATTCTGGACGCCAGTTTGAGATATTTTCCGAGGCGAAAAGAGGCAAGTCAATGATCCTGACTTATGGCTTTCTCTGCATGACATCATTCTTCTGCGAGAATAACTTCCTTTTATATTTTTTATTCATATCTTTGGACTTGTTCATGGTTACCTGGATTTTGCAGCTGAAGTTTTCCATGTGATGGGGGTAGTCAGTTTATGCCAACCCTCCTTGGTTGACTTTTGTTACCTGCATGGTCACATTGTTTTCGCTGCTAAGGCTGCTAATACATACAGACAACAACAAAAGTCCTGTACTTGTTAAAAATGTAATGTAATTGTAATGGAATGAAAACAGTTCTAAAGAGAATGTTGAGCTACCAGAGTAATTCACATTTTTGCTGAGTTGTTGGCATTCGTTTGCCATCTCCTTTGCCAGGTGTGCTTGAGGTGGTCAGTACAGTTGTTTGTGAGTCTGTTGGTGAGTTTGCTGTCAATTAACCTGATACTTAACGATGGTGACTCCTGTGGGTATAATTTATAACATTAGTTTCCTTGTGTTATGCTTCTTGTATTCAGTAGAGAAGGTGTTCACAATTTGTATGCTATAAACCACATGAATGGTAAAGAAAGATATTTTTTTTTATGTTTTTCTAACAGTGTGAATAAACATCATACTATTATAGATATCTTTGAAGTGTTATTCACTTCAGTAATACTCATCAGTTTGTAAGATAGCAGGTGACTATATTTGGGCCTCTTGTTTTAGTAAGGTAAGAAACAATTTTCACGTCAATGACATACTGGGTCTATGGCGCTATACTCTAATTTTTATAGACCAGTCAGCACTTTGTTGCTGATATTGATATGATCAACATCACACTTTGTGATTCGGAGTGATGCCGAGTGACTGGTGTTATACTGATATCAAGAACTAAACACACTACAGACAATGACTTTGAAGTACAGCAGAGAGAATTTAAAGACGCAAACACAGCCTGATGTTTCAATCAAAATTTTTATCAAGTATAACGAATGCTGTTCACTAACCTTTCTGCCACGTAAAAATATTTTAAAATAACCTTGTTGCAATTTTATTTTATGCATATTTTATGCATCCTTATAAATACCATCACAACATCAAGAGATGGACGGGAGAGTATACAGCCAGGACAAGAGACAGAGCGTGTTGGACATCCATTGCAGCCAACCCTCATTGTGGAGATGGCACCGGATTGATTAACTCCCTTAAGCTCTACCCTAAGAAGTGTAAGGAAGCAGACAGGCAGACATGAAGTCTGCCTAAATTTTGGGGGGCAAATAAAATCATACCCACCATGTCTACACACTAAGCAGTTGCAGCCAGT